ACAAGTTAATTTTTTTATATCAGCTAGGTGTGGTGCTATCTTGTATTGCCTTCTTGAGGAAAATACTAGGAAAATGTCAACTGACTGAAAATAGATAACAAAAAAGGGAATAGGAGAAGAAAGAAAATGGCAATACATATATAAAATACAAGGTTCATGTAAAACATAGACTATGATCATGGAAATTATATGTGTTATGTGAAAAATAACTGAATGGGGATAAAAGTCAGAATGAAATATAAACTAACATATATAATATAAAACAAACACAAAATTTTCTAGGCAGTCATAAAGTTTCTTAGCTATTTCACTAAAATTAGTGTGAAATCCTATGAATAAGGAAGTAAATTATTCCCTCCAGAAGCAAATATGCATTTGGCATGTGTGATGAATAAGTAAAACAGCTTCTGTGAAATGTTATTCCATGTGATAAAAAGAAAAATATATACACTTTAATTATGTTTGTTAGAGAAGTGTAGTCCTATGCAAAATTAAAACTACTGAAGAGCTTCCAAAGGGACAAAAGGTAGAAACTCAACAAAACTAGGAAACATAAGGAAATAAGAGAGAATGTGATTGTGTAATACAGAAGAAAAATAAAAGATGGATGGAACACCTGAAATGTCTCAATGAGGACACTTAACAAAAATTTGTTGAATTTCCCTAGCAAAGGTGAGAGAAGGGCAGCTTTCATAAAATACAGTATTCTATTACACATGGTTTATAAGAAACACACCTACAGCAAAATAACAAATGAAAATTTGGAGAAAACAAGAAAAAAACACAAGCACCAAGTATTATTATATATTACCACCTGTATAATTTCTAATGTAGGATTTAATGAAAAAATAAATCTACTTCAGTATGTTTTAAAAACTATTACCAATTTGAAATAAGAACTTTCCTTTTCTAAATGCATTGTTTCAACTGGTGTTAAATTATAAGAAAGAACAGAAAGATTAGGTAACATTTTACTGCCTGTTTGTGAAGGGCTTGAATAGCTTCTTTGGAGGCTGAGAGTTGTTTAAAGCCTTCATTTTTCTTTGAAGAATAAAAATTGTTCTATGAAAATCATTTTTCTCTGTACCTCACAATGAGGTTTTTTGATTGTCATTCTTTTCAAAGTGTATTGAATCTTTATAGAAATCTGTTTGCAAATTACCTTCAGTTTGTACCTAGAAAAAAATCCATGTGAAATAAAACAGCATAAGACATATCAGAGTTATTTGAGAATATCTAATATAATGTTCATTCCTTTATATACTCAAGTATTTACTGAAAACCTATGCTGTTAAAAAGCAAGGAGTAATGATAGGCTCTACAACAATAATCAATTGCTAATAAATTTGGTGGAGAGAAATAACTATGAACAGTCAATTCAATGCAGTAAGTTTTGTGCAGCCAAGAGGAATGAACAGACTGATGTAAGATCCAGAGAGGAAATACCAGGAGAGTCTTCTGAAAGGAAATGGCACCTAAATGGAGATGTAAACAGGTGACAATTAAAGAGAGCTGTTTTTTTTTGTCTCCTTGTCATTTTGGTGTAGTGTATGATCTAATTTATGATAGCACTAAAAAAGACTACTACCCAGGAGAAGGGAAGAAGTTCTGTCTCAACTTGATTTAGCTCCATCTCTGAATATTGAGATCTGGGTATAAGCACTGCACTGCCCAGTCTGTGAGATGAAAGAAAAACATTCTAATGTTTTTCTAAGAGAAAAAAAAAAAAACAGCTGGAAGGATGCCCTTGAGCTGAGAATAAGTAGATCAGGGTATTTCCCAAGAAGGAAGTAAATCCCTGCCATGAAAAGAAAAGGCCAATGTTAAGAAACAACTAAGGATTAATGTTAAGATACTTAAAACTAACTAGAGCAATTTTCATTTTATAGATATTTGATTTGCAATGGGAAAAAAAAACTCTTCTTATTTTAATATACACAATATTAAAATGCACTGAGAGACAAACTTCGTCACCATCAAATAGCTACAAAATTAGCCAAGGAAAGAAAAAACAAAAACAAACCCCAGTCCAGTAAACTATTGTTCAACATCAAAATATAGTTTAGAACACAAATAAAACCAATATATCATTTATAACCATCAACATAAATGCCTCAACTCATTTACCAAAGAAACAGACAGGCAGAATAGATCAAGAAGCAAGATCCACCTATATACTGAATTCAAGAAATACATTAAACCAGAGAAGAAATTCAAAGACTAAAAGTCAATGGGTAGAAAATAATTACCCATGCCACAGAAACCCAGAAAGAAGCAGGGGTAGCTATTCTCTTTGCAAACAATGCAACCTTCCAGCCAAAACTGATCAACAGAGATGAGGAAGGTTGCTACATACTTGTTAAGGGAAAATTCTAAGAGGAAGAGATAACAATCATAAACATTTATTCACCAAACAGAGGTTCACCCAACTACATAAAACATATTTTAATTGGCATGAAGAACCATATAAGCACTAATACCATTGTAGTGGGGGACCAACCTTAATACCCCACTCTCACAAATAGATGAATTAGACAAAAAAATCAACAAAGATATATTAGGACTAAAGCAAGCCTGTCAACAAATGGATGTAGTAGATGAGTACAGCGTGTTCCAACACAAAACATCAGAATACACATTCTTCAAAGTTGCACATGGGACATTCTCAGCAGTAGACCATATATTAGCTAACAAAACATGTTTTAAGTAACTATAGGGCAATTGAAATCATCCCATGCATGCTATCTGACAATAATGCAATGAAACTGGAAAACAATAACAAAGGAAATCACAAGGACTACTCTAACACATGGAAATTTAACAATACCTTGCTGAACAACCAATATGTCACAGAGGAAATTAAAGATAAAATTAAACAGTATATACAATTAAATGATAATGCTGATACAACATTGCAAAACTTACAGGATGCAATAAAGCAGTTCTATGAGAAAAATTTGTAGTGATGAATTTACACATCAGGAAAGCACAATGAGCTCAAATAAGCAAACTTCTGTTGAACCTCAAACTTCTATTAAAAGAACAGATCAAACCCAAAATTTGTACATGGGAAGAAATTATAAAGCTAAAAGAAATTAATGCAATAAAGATTAAAAAAACAATACAAAGAATCAATGAATCGGAAAGTTAGTTCTTTGAAAGAATAAACGAAATGGATTCTCCACTATTCAACCTCATCAAAAAGGGGGAATGTAAGCACAAATTCAAGCAATTAAGAATACAAAGAGGCAAATCACAACCTATTCCACAGAAATCAAGATGATCAATGCTGACTATAAGATCGTATTTTTTAAAAATTTCTATTTCTATTACTTTTTATTTTAAAGAGGAAAGATGAAACAAATAAAAGAACAGAGACAAAAACAAAGCACCAGAAAAAATAACATTGGTTGTTGTATTACATACTGTTATCATCAAATTTGTTCAGACTAACAGGCTTATAAGATTGATCAAACAGTTAAAACATTAACTCTTCATTTCCATAAACCTTAAAATTTTTCTGCATCCTTTATTAAAAATACTTTAAAGATAGTATAAAAATAATAGGACATTAGAAACAATACATCTGTATAAAACAAAAAGCCCTACAAAAAACAAAAAGGATGAAAAGTATTCTATGGTGGTTATTATACTGCACATTGCTGTCTTCAAATTAGTTGCTCAGATTACAGTTATTAGTTTACAAAACTGGTCAAAGTAATAATTTTAAGAATTAACTTCCACCTTCCAAAAACTGATAGAATATAGTAGTACAATCATCTTAGCTATCCTGTGGATATACTTACATGATTTTTTCCCCTTCTTTTTATTCCTCTTTTCTCCTTTAATTCGTCTCAATTGTTTACTTATTATATTCGGTTACTTTCCCTTTTACTATATCTATTGTACCTTTCTGATTTTATTTACTCTTTCAGGTTCTTGCACTAGGGAGACAAAATGATGTTTACACAAATTCATCTGATTTATTTCACTTATGAATATTGACTCTAGTTGTATCCATTTACTATAAAACCCTCATGTTTATCTTTTTTATAGCTGAGTAATACTCCTTTGTATGAAAATATCATATCTTTTTTATCCATTCCTCAGTTAATGGGAGGTTGGGTTGTTTCCAAAATTTATCTATGACAAATTGTGCTGCTATAAACATGGGTGCACATATATCACAATGGTATGATGTTTTCAGTTCTTTTAGAAAAATACACAGGTGGGGAATAGCTAGGTTGAATGGGATTTCTAATCTTAGATTTGTGAGGACTCCCTACACTGATCTCCATAGGGGTTGTGCCAGTCTACACTCCCACCAACAGTGGAGAAAGCTCCCTTTTTCCCAAAGCTCCTCTAGCATTTGTTATTGGTCAATTTCTTTATGATAGCCATTCTTCCTTGAGTGAGATGGAATCTCAGTGTTGTTTAAATTTGTACTTCTTGAATGATCAGTACTTTGGAACATTTTTTCATGTATTTATTTGTCATTACTATTCCTTCCTCTGAGAAGAGTGTGGGCTTTTTGTTATTTTTGGATTGGGTCCTTGAATGTTGGGAGCCTGATATTCTGTCATTCTTTATATATTCTAGATAGAAATTGTCTGTCTGAGTGACTATTGCTTACAATTTTTTCTCAACTTGTGTGTTTTCTTTTCACTCTGTTGGTGTTTTCTTTTAACATTCAGAAACTTCTCAATAAGATGAGATCCCAGTTGTTGGTTCTATGAAGTATTTCCATTACAGTTTGCTTTTCTGTTCATGAACTCTCTGCCTACTTTTGTGTCTCCAGGATTTACACTATTTCCATTCCAGTAGATTTAGTGTTTTTGTTTTAATGGTTTGGTCTTTAATCTAGTTTGACTTTAGTTTAGTGCATGGTGTTAGACCTGGATCTAGTTTTAGTTTTCAGCATGTGGAAAGCCAGTTTTCCTGGCATCATTTGTTAAAGTGGTATCATTTGTTCCAGTGAACATGTTTGCCCCTTTATCAAAGATAAGGTGGCTCACTAGGAAGAATGCATGCAATGTGTTAATTATCGAAACTGTCCTACCAATTTGGTTTGAAACTGTCTCATTGCTATTTGTTTCTCAATAAAATTATGGAAAAAAGAAAAAAAAAGATAAGATGGTTGAGTGTGTTTGTAGTTGTGTCACCATATTATAATCTGTTCCATTGATCCTCAGTTCTGTTTTTTGGGGTTTTTTTTGGGGGGGGGGTTTTGGCAGTGCCTTGATGATTTTATCATAATAGTTTTGTAGTATAATTTCAAATCAGGAATTGTATTGCCTCCTGCCTTGCCTTTGTTGGCAAGGATTGCTTTTGCTGTTTTAGATCTTTTCTGGTTCCAAATGAACTTTAGGAATATTTTCTGTTGATCTGTGAGATATGCTGATGGTATGTTTATAGAGATTGTGCTAAATCTGTATGACAATTCTGGGAGTATGACAATTTTTGCAAAGTTGGTTCTTCTTATCTAAGAGCAAAGAATATCTTTTGATATTATGATATCCTCTTCTAACTTTTTTTAGAATACTGTAATTTTAATTATAAATTCTTTTAATTTCTTTGTTAGATTAATTCCTAAGTAGTTCTCTCTCCCCGTCTCTCTGTCTCTGTCTCTGTCTCTGTCTCTCTCTCAGATGCAATTTTTTTTAAACATTTATTTATTTATTTATTTATTTATTTATTTATTTGTGTGTGTGTGTGTGTGTGGCCAGCTCAGCCCACCGGGGGGGGGGGCTGGCTGGCATGTGGTGCTGGGGGATTGAACCACGGTCCCTGTGCATTGCCAAGCTTGTTTCAAGTAGGTGCTTTAGACCACTGAGCCATCTCTCCAGCCCCTCTCAGATGCAATTGTGAAGGGTGTTGTTTCTCTAATTTCTCTATTAGTTTGTTCTTTGTGCAGAGAAATATTATTGATTTTTAGGTATTGTCTTTGTATCCTGTTACACTACTGAATTTGTTTATTAATTCTAGGAGCCTCTCAGTGAAGCTTTTTGGACATTCCATGTAGAGTATCACGTCATCTGCAAGTAATGATAATTCAACTTTTCTTTTCCAATTTTTATTCCTTTTATTTACCTCTCTTGTCTAATGCTTTGGCTAATGCTTCCAGAACTATATTGAATATGAGTGTTGACAGTGGAGAATCTACTGCTCTTCCTGT